AAAAATAAAAAAAGTATAATGTCCAAATATTTATTTGATTTAAATGTTTATTAAGAATTTAAAACTACGATTACCGCACTGTAACTTATTACTTTATCCAGATAAATTAAAAATTGCCACTTGGATAAAATCGACGATATACTCAAGTAAGATCAGGTTTTTTAAAATCGAAATCCACTTATATTGTTTTAATTGGACGATTTAGGAATAACATTTTGTTCTAAAACTAGTACCATGAAGGAAAAAAAAAACTGAATTGCCATGATCATCGAAATTATAGTTCTTCTTCTAGAAAAGGGGGCGTCCATTAATTACGTCAACAAAATAGAGGGGTGGGGTGGTGGAAATGTTTGACAGTTGTTGACTGTTGTTGAGGGGATGGACGGGGGTTAGATTAGTTGACGTCAAACAATCATGTTTTTTCTTTTAAAATTTTAATCTTAAAAATTAACTGGTTCTTACATTATTTTTAAAAATTTATAAGTGCAAATGAGTGTAAATAGTCATATAATTTATGGCTTTTACTTTTAACAACACAAGATTTATTTAATGTGTGTCTGTCAGTGCACTGAAGATGATTAGTCAGAATGTTAGCACACTTTGGCCTCTCTTCACCTGTAGATTCTGTTTCAGGCATGGAACAAGGACAAGGTTCAAGATAACTGATATTGATGGATATCAATATTTTGAGCATACGATATTTTGAGAATTGGGTGAATGTAAAGGGAGTAACAATGTAACAAAATATAGGTGAATGTAAAGTGAGTAACAATAATAACTTCGGTGCTTGAACGGATTTGCCAAAAATATGCTACATCTGATCTAGTTTGCACACAAGGGTACTGGGTGGCCCAGTGCTCTAAACCGACTCACTCCAAATAGTGGTGCTCTGGAGTTCAATCCCCGCCAAAGCCAAAATCTCAAGCACCCCGGGTGGATGGGACTCGTTAGCCTTGGAAGGCAACTCATCTAAGAGAAGGCTAACACTGAATTCAAACCAGGAGCCAGAATGATAAATAAATTGATCGCGGGCCCACAAATATGATTTCTTTAAAAAAAAAATTTAAAGTCATGTTGAAAAAGTTTAGCACCTCAACTAAAAAGGATTCAAAAAGGACCAATGCGAGTAGCTGCAAGGAGATAGAGAGAGCTTATTGCAATTATTGCTCACACCGAATATTGCTAATATTTTAAGTGCTGAATGGTTTGATGAAGATCAGTGCCTCAAGATGAAAAAGATAAATCAGCTACTATAGACTTTCCCACCAGGGGCGTCATTTCATGTTTTTTTCAAGGGGGGGGGGGACCAAAACTTGGTCGGCTTGTTAAGTTGTTTATTTTTTAGAGGAGCCACAGTACGTAGCAATTTAAATAAAACCTACAAATTGGGGGTGGGGGCAAATGCCACCCTGCCCTACCCAAATGATGTCCCTGATGCCGATTGTTGCGAAAGAGCAAACCTGGCTTCTCCTTGGGAAGATGATAGCAGCTATAAATTATAAACTATGCTATAATTGGCAGCTTTACTGACAATAATCATAGTTACACCACAAACAATTATATTTAGTATTTAACAACCTTTCAATTGATTCTGCATTATAAAATTTAAAGTGTAAAATCTTTTTAACTTGTTGATTACCAAGCTAAGATGTAATGAAATGTTTTTCCTACAATTTGGTGTCATTAAAATAAATCAGCACAAAGTAAAATGTATTTAACCACATTCAACCACACATGCGGCAACTCCACTGGCTTCCAATATCCTCTCGTATCAAGTACAAGTCTGCCAATCTATGCTTCAACTCGTTCACTGACCCTCACTTTCCTGTCTATCTCTCTGAACTGTTGCTTCCTTACATCCCCACAAGACAACTACGCTCTTCCATTGACAATAGAACCCTCTCAATCCCAAGAACCAAAACTAAGACCATCGGTGAACGCTCCTTCT